AAAAAAAAATAAAACGAAAAAAAAATAAGAAAAAAAAATTTTTTTTAAATTTTTTAACGAATGGAGGGAATTGTAAAGGGAAAAACGAAATTAAAAAGAAAAAAAAAATATTTTTTTTTAAGAAAGGAACTGCAAAGGAAAAAAAATAAAATAAAATATATGTATATATATTTTTTTTTTAATACTGATGATGAGAGAAAAAAAATAAAACGAAAAAAAAAATAAGAAAAAAAAATATTTTTTTTAAAAATTTTTTAACGAATGGAGGGAATTGCAAAGGGAAAAAACGAAATTAAAGTAAAAGGAAAAAAATAAAACTTTTTTAAGGAATAAAGAGAAAACTGAAAAAAAATATATTTTTTTTAAGAAAATTTTTTAACGAATGGAGAGAAACTGCAAAGGAAAAATAAAAAAAACAATATATATTTTTTTAAAAATACCAATATAACTACACTCCGGACTAATAAAAAACAATATATAAAATTTCTTTTTAAAAAAAGTTGGTGTTTAGACGAAAAAAAAAAAACCTGATATATTAGGTGGAGCCCGTGGCCAGAAATGAAAGCCACAAAAGCCAAATCCGAGATCTGAATCAGATCTGTCGGATCTGATCTGAACAGATTCAGATTTGAGTAAGTCTGATCTGAATCTGATCTGACATGATCAGATTTGATCTGAAGCTAGTCCGATCTGTTCAGATCAAAAATTTTTTGATCTGAATCCGAATTGCAGATCAAATACAATTAATCTGATCCGAGTCTGACAGATCAGATTCGGATCAAATCTGATCAGATCAGATTTTTTTCGGAGCACTAGCAGTTAATAATAAGAAATGAATATTTTGCAATAAATCCATTATAAAATGATAAAATGAATAAAATTTCGTCATAAATCTATATAAGATTCAATCATTATGTTCAGTCGGGCGTATTTTGAGTTTTGTATGCCCATTCCAGAGCATTTTTAGGGTGTCATGAGGTGATACAATAGCTTTTGTCATCATGGTTTCTTCCCCTCATTAATTGCGCTATCTGTAGAAAAAACCAAGATGTTTCGGAGAAAATGGATAAGCTGTAAAGTCATAAAGTCACTAAAACAAATAAAATTAGTTGATGTTTTTAATAAAATATTATAAAAAAAGATTATTATACCTCATCAGAACGCTAACTCAAGTTATAAACAATAATTATCTGTTGTTCTTTATCCATTTCTAAGTCTTCAGGTGAATGGTAGTGAGTATCTTTCAGAATGTTTAGGACCTTTATCTTATCATAATCTTTTACTCAATCATCATTACGTTTGAAAAGTGAAATAGTACCTTTGACTCTATGCAATTTTTTCTGAAATATAATGAATGTTTAGTATCAATTTCGAAATGACAGATTCTAATATCGCTCAATCTGTTGTTTTTATGCAGTCTTCTGTTATCTTTATCAATTACACTTCACTCAACATATAAAAGTCATACTCTATGATGCTTATACGAAGGACTAAATTGAGGCTTCATGGAAGTAATCAATCGTGATATTAATTGTCGTAAAATGTCCGCATTCATCTTGTTTGTAAATTTTTTGTCATATCTTAATGTTAATTCAGGAGGCATTGTTTTTAATATTACCTTCATTTCAGTCTATAATAATTTATAAAAGATTCGTAAGAAGGATATTCAAATCGTGTAAAATGCAAAATCTGTTCATCTCTAATGAACTCTAGCATTTTTTTTGTCAGTTTTATAATCGCATCATTTTGGCTCAATATTTGTGATTTGAGATTATTAATCTTGGCTCAAAGAACTTCATTTTTATGATTGATATACTTATTATGCGAATGTAATTTGATATAATCTTGCCAAAGTTCATTTAATTCGCCTTTAATTTCTTTTAACTCTCTATAAACCTCACACATTCTGCTTTATAAATAAGCTTGCTCATTGCGAAGCTGACTATGTTCTAAATAACGTGAAATATTTGATAAAAATTCGTTAAGTACATTAAAATGTGTCACAGTTCATTACCTCTCTTCAACTTTTCATAATCACTATTATTGTATCTATATGCCAATGATTCTGATGGTTCAACAGGACTCGAAGAAAAATCATATGGTAAAAACTCTCATGATAAGGAATCCCTGTGCGGCATTCAAGATAAAGACAATTCTCGTGGTTTAATAGTTCTGGTATGTTCAAAAGAACTTTTCGGAAAATGCGCATTGGCCATTTCTTTATTGGTATGAGATTCTTCCAGATCTTGACTTGTTTTTGAGATAGAACTTGACTTATATCAAGAACAAATGGATCTCAATAATTTTTTTGGTAAACTTGGCCGGTAGCAGTAGTTGAAATTTGTTCACGAACTACTTTGATGATTTCTACATCATCGGACAGTTTGTCTTTACTTGCTGCAGATTTTTCGTATTGATTCGTTTCTGTATTGATAAATTTTTTTGATATAGTAAGTATAAATGATACACCTTTGAATAATGGAATGGAATAATGTAAAACAATCAATATATCAACTTTTTTGGGGGTAGAAGTTTGTCCAGTATTAGGAGTAGTTGAAATTTGTCCAGTATTAGGAGTAGTTGAAGTTTGTCCAGTACTAGGAGTAGTTGAAGTTTGTCTAGTATTAGGAGTAGTTGAAATTCGGTTCCGGTTCACTTTCTTAGATGCTTTGTGAAGTTTTCTTTTATTTGACGATTTTTTCTTGTTTTGGCTCATTTCTATATATCAATAAATTTTCTTACGGTTAAAATAGGAAATTGCAAATCAAAAGTAATTATATATCATATGGTCGAAAGTTACAAATTACCAGTAATTATGAAAATGAAATAAAATTTTATAAGTTTACTAGGATTCACCTGTTATATTAAATTATAATAAAAAATTTTTATTGAAAAATTTCTGGATAAACAACATTATAAGTATAATTGATTAAATTTGCATTATCTCCTAATTGTTTAATAATAAGAATTTTTAAATTTTTTCTTGATGTTATTCTTGAACATGCAACATATAATTGCCCATGAGAAAATACAGGAGTTGGAAAATACAAACCAACCCAATTTAATGATTGTCCCTGAGATTTATTAATAGTCATTGCAAATGCTGGTTGTACTGGAAATTGACAACATTTTTAAGAGTAAAAGGAAAATTAGTATTTGAAGGTGATAAAGTAATACATGGAATAAAAGTATATAATCCAGCATGTTTTCCAGTAATAATTTCTGCTTTAATAACATGCTTTTGAAAAGAATGACAAATTAATCTAGTTCCATTACAAAGACCATCAGATGGATTAAGATTACGTAATAATATAATTGGAGATCCTATTTTTAATGATAATTTATGAGGAGGAAGTCCTCCAATAGTTAAAGAATTAAGAAATTCTATTGGATACTGATGTTCTGGATTTGTTTATTCTTCAATTATATCAGCACTATAATATTCAACTGCTTCTCCAGGAAACTGATTCATAATAATAGTATTAACATTATTAACATCAACATTTTTTAGAGTAAGTATAGCACGTTCAACCAAATATTGAGGATTAAAATGAGTTGTAAAATTAGAATAAATAAAATTAATAAGATCATTAATATTTTGTGATGATAAAATAATATCATTAGGAAGTCGAATAATATTACTCTTCAACTTTAAGTAACCATTCAGCAAATTCCTTTTGTTCAGCAGCATCAGGTTGATTTTCTGTACGAAATAAACGCATATTAATCTTCAATGTTATTAATTTTACATAAGCATATCTATATGTCATTGGAGCTTCATCCCATATAATAAGTTTTGCAATTTGTAAAAGTGAAGCTAAATCTGAATTATGTTTTATAGAACAGGTAGAATCTTCATGGATATTAATAGGAATTTTAAAACAGGAATGAGCTGTTTGACCACCTGGTAAAAGAAGTGCAGCAATACCTGAAGAAGCTACAGCAAGAGCAATATCTCCATTTGAACGAACTTTTCCAAGTAAAGTACTATATTATATTATTATTAGTATATATATATATATTGTATTATTAATAATTAGTAAATTAAAATAAAAAAATGCTTACTTATATAAAAAGGTCTTTCCAGTTCCACCTGGACCATCCACAAAAAAAATATCAGAAGTATTATTTTCTACAGCTGTAATAATTTTTTTAAATGCAGCTTGCTGATCTATATTTAAACAGGAAAAATTATCTTCAGTAGATTTTGCAAGCTCTTCAATTTCATATTGTTGTTCTTCTCTAATTAAACGATTAGTATTTTGTTCATTATTAGGAAATAGGCATATTTGGAAATTCACTAAGATTTTTTCCATATTTACTTAAAATAGATTGCAAATGATAAAGAGCTCTATTACGTATATCATCTGTAAGTTCTAAAGTCATATTTCTAGTATTTTGACGAACTTGAAAAAGAATATCATCACTAAGAGTTGTTACTTCACAAAATAAAAGCAAAATAACAAATAATTTGTAATTGTGTTCCAGTTTGTACTTGTTCAGCTTCCTTTAAACATTGATCCCATTCTTCATCATTTTGCAATAAGCCTAAAGCAATACATGCTTCTTATAAATAATTCCATTTACTGTACGAAGATTTTCAAAAGAAGTAGCACCACAAATAATATTAAGTAACATTTTTAATTGCCGATCTGCATGTGATCGATAGAATTTACATAGTAAAATGCGGCGTTATATTAATTAATAAAAAAAATGCCGTTTGAGATCTCTGTTTCCCCAAGAAACAACAACGTCAAATACATACATAACTTCCAAAAAACTTGTTGCAACTGGCGCTATTATATCAGAATTTCATTATTATGTCCATATTTATATGACTTGTTTATTATTTTTTAAAAAAAATTCAAGATAACTATTCCTATTTTGAGATTACGCTAAAACTTAATAAAAGTCCTTTTTATTATCCATATATTTCATTATATTCATATTTTTTACAAACTGGACATATTTGTGAAAGAAAAAGAGATATAAAAGTGCGTAGTGTTATTAAAAATGTAATAGTTGACAGAAATAATAATCAAAAAAAGTTTTATAAGCATCAAAGAAAAGTTAAAGAGCTAGAACTTGTTTATACCATAGAAGTAAAATAGTAGTAAATACTATGAAATCTCCGTTTCCCACATATAAAACTTTATAAACTGCAAAGAAAAAAAACTTTTTATAAAAAAATTTTTTTTTTCTAAGATCTTAAACGTATATTGCAGGTGTTAAATTACGTAATTGTATAACAATATGGTTGCATTTTATTTGATATAAAAACTAGGGATTGGAACCGTTCAAAAAAACCTTAACCGGTTAAAAACCGGTTAACCAAGAGTCCTAACCGGTTAATAACCGGTTAATATTAAAAATATTTTAAAAACTTTTTTTACTGCAAATTGTACCAATTTTTGATTTTACTTGCATATTTAGTTATNTCCACCTGGACCATCCACAAAAAAAATATCAGAAGTATTATTTTCTACAGCTGTAATAATTTTTTTAAATGCAGCTTGCTGATCTATATTTAAACAGGAAAAATTATCTTCAGTAGATTTTGCAAGCTCTTCAATTTCATATTGTTGTTCTTCTCTAATTAAACGATTAGTATTTTGTTCATTATTAGGAAATAGGCATATTTGGAAATTCACTAAGATTTTTTCCATATTTACTTAAAATAGATTGCAAATGATAAAGAGCTCTATTACGTATATCATCTGTAAGTTCTAAAGTCATATTTCTAGTATTTTGACGAACTTGAAAAAGAATATCATCACTAAGAGTTGTTACTTCACAAAATAAAAGCAAAATAACAAATAATTTGTAATTGTGTTCCAGTTTGTACTTGTTCAGCTTCCTTTAAACATTGATCCCATTCTTCATCATTTTGCAATAAGCCTAAAGCAATACATGCTTCTTATAAATAATTCCATTTACTGTACGAAGATTTTCAAAAGAAGTAGCACCACAAATAATATTAAGTAACATTTTTAATTGCCGATCTGCATGTGATCGATAGAATTTACATAGTAAAATGCGGCGTTATATTAATTAATAAAAAAAATGCCGTTTGAGATCTCTGTTTCCCCAAGAAACAACAACGTCAAATACATACATAACTTCCAAAAAACTTGTTGCAACTGGCGCTATTATATCAGAATTTCATTATTATGTCCATATTTATATGACTTGTTTATTATTTTTTAAAAAAAATTCAAGATAACTATTCCTATTTTGAGATTACACTAAAACTTAATAAAAGTCCTTTTATTATTCATATATTTCATTATATTCATATTTTTTACAAACTGGACATATTTGTGAAAGAAAAAGAGATATAAAAGTGCGTAGTGTTATTAAAAATGTAATAGTTGACAGAAATAATAATCAAAAAAAGTTTTATAAGCATCAAAGAAAAGTTAAAGAGCTAGAACTTGTTTATACCATAGAAGTAAAATAGTAGTAAATACTATGAAATCTCCGTTTCCCACATATAAAACTTTATAAACTGCAAAGAAAAAAAACTTTTTATAAAAAAATTTTTTTTTTCTAAGATCTTAAACGTATATTGCAGGTGTTAAATTACGTAATTGTATAACAATATGGTTGCATTTTATTTGATATAAAAACTAGGGATTGGAACCGTTCAAAAAAACCTTAACCGGTTAAAAACCGGTTAACCAAGAGTCCTAACCGGTTAATAACCGGTTAATATTAAAAATATTTTAAAAACTTTTTTTACTGCAAATTGTACCAATTTTTGATTTTACTTGCATATTTAGTTATAGGAAAACTATATATTACTAAAATTATTATAAATAAATAGAAAAAAATTCAGCATTAAAACTTCAAGTTTAGGAACACGTGGCCGCAATTTACATGTCTCTGGGCCACATTATATAAATCTGACTAGAATTATGATAAATATAGTTTTAACCGGTTAACCAATTTTCAAAATCCTTTAACCGGTTAACATTAACCAGTTCCAATCCCTAATAAAAACATGATAGACATGGCTTATATTATATATAAATGTTGCGCCACATTTTATTATATAAATTCTATCGATCACCTGCTGCAGGATGAACAAAATTCATACGACCAATAGAATCACCTCTTTGTCTTGGTTTCCAAATTTTAGTTTGATTATTATAAACCCATTG